TTTTTTTTTTTTTTTTAACATATAATGTATTATTTGTTTTTTTTTTTTTTTTTTGTGATTCAACAATCTTACATTTTTTTTTTTTTTTTTCCAATGTATCCTCACTGAAATTTTTTTTTTTTTTTTTATTGTATGCTGACCTTGCTATTTTTTTTTTTTTTTTTTCATGGGTTCTGTGTTTTTATTTTTTTTTTTTTTTTTCTTTTTAAAATCAGGAATGGAAATAACATTAAAGTTTTCAACTCTAATTGTGAATCGATTTGCCCGTGGAATTCTATCATATTTTGCTTTGGTCTTTTGAAGCTCTGTTATTCAGGACATACGTAATTGAGACTGTTCTGTCTTCTTGCCATGTTGACCTCTCTGTCGTTTTTTTTTTTTTTTTTGTAGTCCTGGTAACACTTCTTTTTTTTTTTTTTTTTTTGTTTGGTAATAATATAGGCTTTTTTTTTTTTTTTTTACTAGTGTTTGTTTGGCATATTTTTTTTTTTTTTTTTCCTTTGTCTTTATCTTGGATTTTTTTTTTTTTTTTTTTAGTGAAGTCTTGCTGTTTTTTTTTTTTTTTTTTTTTTAATCAGTGTGGTTATACTGTTTTTTTTTTTTTTTTTTAGAAAGAAATACAAAAATATTTTTTTTTTTTTTTTTCTCTTTTTTTGTTTGTTGTTTTTTTTTTTTTTTTTTTTGTTTTATTGATACTGTTAGTTTTTTTTTTTTTTTTTAAAAACTTTTTTATGATTTGTTTTTTTTTTTTTTTTTCAGCCTTTAATTAATGTTTATTTTTTTTTTTTTTTTTTCAGATGTACTGTAGGAACCTTTTTTTTTTTTTTTTTCATCTCTTCATCCTATTTAGTTTTTTTTTTTTTTTTTGTTGTTCCTGTAGCTGGGTCTTTTTTTTTTTTTTTTTTGTTGGTTACTTTATCACTCTTTTTTTTTTTTTTTTTTTCCCTGGCTTTGTCATAATTTTTTTTTTTTTTTTTTACATCGTGTGCAGGGCAATAGAGCAAACTTTTTCTGTAATGGGCTGGATAGTAAATATTTTTAGGGCCGGGCCATATATGGTTTCTGCTGCATATTCTTCTCCCCCTTCTCTCTTTTTTAAAAACTATCCCTTTAAAATATAAAAATCACTCTTGGCTTACAGCCTGTACAGAAATGTTTCCTGGGCTGCATTTGGTCTCTGGGCCATAGTGTACCAGCCTCTGCAGCAGAGAATGAGGTAACTGGTGTGTACTTGTGGACATGGCCATGCCTCCTCTTCTGCTGGGCTGTCAGTGCGGGATGAGATGGGTGTGGGTTTTTTTTTTTTTTTTTTTGCCTTCTGTGTACCATTATTTTTTTTTTTTTTTTTTTTTCCTTGCGCTAAGTGAGTTTTTTTTTTTTTTTTTCCGAGTGTCTTCCTCAGTGCTTTTTTTTTTTTTTTTTTGTTGGCCTTCCCTTTGCGTTTTTTTTTTTTTTTTTTCCTTCCTTCCTTTTGCTCCTTTTTTTTTTTTTTTTTTCTCTTATTGGCTGCTGGAAGTATGCTGGGCTGATGCTGGAGGACAAAGGGAGTTCTCTGGTGTTTGGTTCAGCTCCTGTCCATCTTTGTCTGGGTGGTGGGGCCTTCCCGGCGACCCTGTCCTCCTCCCGGTTTTTTTTTTTTTTTTTACCAGGTCTTTGGCAGGCCCTTTTTTTTTTTTTTTTTCCCCTCCTCCCCCAAAGTAGTTTTTTTTTTTTTTTTTAGGCTCAGGATGTCCTGCCCTTTTTTTTTTTTTTTTTACAGCAGTCTTCACTGGGCCCTGGGGGCCCTGGGTCAACAGCAGGAGCCTCTGGGCATTTTTTTTTTTTTTTTTTTCTCACTGAGGACTTACTTTTTTTTTTTTTTTTTTTGTACTCACTTCTTAAAAGGTTTTTTTTTTTTTTTTTTAAAGAGGTACTGATTTTGAGTTTTTTTTTTTTTTTTTCATTCAATCAAGAAGTGGATTTTTTTTTTTTTTTTTTTTCCCAGTAGGGAAGAGTAATTTTTTTTTTTTTTTTTATCCCTCCTAGTTAAGAATGTTTTTTTTTTTTTTTTTGTTTGCGTCTAGCTGTGTTTTTTTTTTTTTTTTTTTTGTGCAGGGTACCAGGTTCTGTTTTTTTTTTTTTTTTTCCTCAGGGACATGGTAACACTTTTTTTTTTTTTTTTTATGACTCTGGGGAGCCTGGGTTTTTTTTTTTTTTTTTATACCTGTATGTGTCCTCTGAGGGATTGACGCACTTGGAGTACAAATGGAGTAATACTTTTTTTTTTTTTTTTTTGTGGACAGAGTTGGAGCAATTTTTTTTTTTTTTTTTCTCATATTTTTTGTTCAGCATTTTTTTTTTTTTTTTTTGAGTAATATTTGAAGATGGTTTTTTTTTTTTTTTTTGTCATTGAGGTTTGTTGTGTTTTTTTTTTTTTTTTTTCTTTTGCCTCAAGAAGTGACTTTTTTTTTTTTTTTTTTGGCAGTTACTGAACGGTCATTTTTTTTTTTTTTTTTGGCCGAGAGCTCTTGAGGGATTTTTTTTTTTTTTTTTTCTGTAGAGTCTCGTTCTAATTTTTTTTTTTTTTTTTCTCCCCCAGACCCGGATGCAGAGGTGTGTCTTCATGCACTGCGACTCGTCCAGTCTGTTTTTTTTTTTTTTTTTGTCTTCTCCAGGTCGGCCTCTTTTTTTTTTTTTTTTTTGCCCCGGCAGCGCATCCTGTTTTTTTTTTTTTTTTTCAACCCGCACCTGCAGACCGTGGCCCAGGAGCTCCTGGAGGACCTCCGCGCCCTGGATTTTTTTTTTTTTTTTTGCTCGGTGTGTCCCTTCCCCTTTTTTTTTTTTTTTTTTTGTGTTCTGAAACCATCACTTTTTTTTTTTTTTTTTAGATGGTAGAATGTGAGTGATTTTTTTTTTTTTTTTTTGCATATGTATCCACACAACTTTTTTTTTTTTTTTTTAGTACCTGTGGGTGGCTGGTTTTTTTTTTTTTTTTTTAGCCTGAGGAAGAATCCATCTTTTTTTTTTTTTTTTTGTCCTGTACCTGGAAGAGGGTTTTTTTTTTTTTTTTTCTGCTGCTCAGTAGACTTTCGAGACCTGTGGGTTTGCCTGCACAAAGGGGATGAAATAACCACCTGCCCCGTTGGTCAGCATTTTCCTGAGATATTTTTTTTTTTTTTTTTTTCATTCTCTCTCTAGTAATTTTTTTTTTTTTTTTTTAATTCAAGTTTACCTTTAAATTTTTTTTTTTTTTTTTTATTTCAGGTGACGTTGGACTTTTTTTTTTTTTTTTTTTGTGCCTGTTTTATTTTTGTTTTTTTTTTTTTTTTTGAGTTATTGATGTGCACAACTTTTTTTTTTTTTTTTTTTATAAACTTGGTATTAGGATTTTTTTTTTTTTTTTTCAGATACTTGGTGGGTAGAATTTTTTTTTTTTTTTTTGTTCTGGGCACTTGACTATATTTTTTTTTTTTTTTTTTTTCTTATAAGAAATATCATTTTTTTTTTTTTTTTTTGGAGAGCCCGTGCCATTGGGTTTTTTTTTTTTTTTTTCGTCTGCCGGTGTGTCCCAGTTTTTTTTTTTTTTTTTGATCCTTCTCAGCTGCGCCTTTTTTTTTTTTTTTTTTCACGGAAGGACACACTTCCTTTTTTTTTTTTTTTTTTCACGTGAGAGCCAGAAGTTCTTTTTTTTTTTTTTTTTGAAGTCGCATGAGGGAGCACTTTTTTTTTTTTTTTTTGCTGCTTCCCTCATGGTGACGCTGCGGCTCCTCGGGCTCTGGGCACCCTCTCCAGTGAAGGAAGGTGCTGACGGCCCCTGACGGTGGTGGCCTCTTTTTTTTTTTTTTTTTGTGTCTGCTGTGGGGCATGTTTTTTTTTTTTTTTTTTTCTCTGAAGTCGATTTTATATTTTTTTTTTTTTTTTTGGCTGAGGCTGAAGCCACGATTTTTTTTTTTTTTTTTGGGCTGAATCTCAGGAGCCATTTTTTTTTTTTTTTTTGCCCGCTCATCAGAGCCAGATTTTTTTTTTTTTTTTTAGCTTGCAATTCATGGTGCATTTTTTTTTTTTTTTTTGTGCTGCGGTTCTGTAGGTCTTTTTTTTTTTTTTTTTAATTGAGGGTGTTGTGTGTTTTTTTTTTTTTTTTTTTGGTATTTTCTTTTTGGGTATTTTTTTTTTTTTTTTTTGGGAGATAAACTAGTGTAATTTTTTTTTTTTTTTTTTAGAATGCAGGGTCTTTTCCTTTTTTTTTTTTTTTTTTCAGCGTAGAGAGACACGGAATTTTTTTTTTTTTTTTTTTTTGTGTAGTTTAGCTAATTTTTTTTTTTTTTTTTTGAAGAAAGATACTTTATTTCTTTTTTTTTTTTTTTTTTATAGGGATCGCAAGAGTCCTTTTTTTTTTTTTTTTTAGGGAGAAACACATGATAAATTTTTTTTTTTTTTTTTTATCATAGGAAAAGTACTTATTTTTTTTTTTTTTTTTTGGCTTAGCCTTTCTAATATTTTTTTTTTTTTTTTTTAGGTCAAGGAGACACATGAGTTCTAACAAAGTATGAATAAAAGCATGTGCTTGGCAGTGTTTGGGGTCTCTTGTGAATTTAAAATCAGAAACAATTTTTTTTTTTTTTTTTATGTATTTTTAAATTTATTTTTTTTTTTTTTTTTTTTTTATTTATTTGACAGAGAGATTTTTTTTTTTTTTTTTCACAAGAGGGAGAGGGAGAATTTTTTTTTTTTTTTTTCAGGGAGCCCGATGCGGGGCTTTTTTTTTTTTTTTTTGGATCATGACCTGAGCCGAAGGCAGATGCTTAACGACTGAGCCACCCAGGCGCCCCTAAATTTGTTTTTTAAAGAATTCCTCTTATGTTAAGTTGAGGCACTCTTTATTTCTCCTTGGTGCTGTCAGTTTGTCTGTAAAGGCATGGAGCCTGCCAGGCCAGCCGCCAGTTTTTTTTTTTTTTTTTCCTGCCCCCAAGGGTGCTCATTTTTTTTTTTTTTTTTACAGAGCTGGGAGACCCTCGTTTTTTTTTTTTTTTTTGCTGCGGCTTTGAGGATGGCTTTTTTTTTTTTTTTTTGCACATGGTGCTGAGTGGGGTTTTTTTTTTTTTTTTTCGGATATATATGTAGCCCCATTTTTTTTTTTTTTTTTAGAGGATTTTAAAATTAATGTTTTTTTTTTTTTTTTTATCGCAGGTCTGGGGCTTGAAACCAGCACAAGGCTGGCTGTCAGACCAGGGACAGAATTTTTTTTTTTTTTTTTGTCGTAAATATGCCTGTTGTTTTTTTTTTTTTTTTTTTGCCATGAGCTCTGCTGTCATTTTTTTTTTTTTTTTTGAAAAGGTTGATATAAATACTTTTTTTTTTTTTTTTTTTTCCTGAGAAGACTTGAAGTTTTTTTTTTTTTTTTTTTCTCCTGTGATGTGGATGCTTTTTTTTTTTTTTTTTAGGGCCTTGAGGGCAGGTCCTTTTTTTTTTTTTTTTTAGTATAGGGTACCGCACCCCTTTTTTTTTTTTTTTTTAAGGCAGAGTGACGAACCCAGCAGAAGCTCTTTGATACTTTTCCAGGCCAGACGCAGTTTTTTTTTTTTTTTTTCAGCTGGTACGCCTGCATCTTTTTTTTTTTTTTTTTTCGTGCTCACGGCTGTCCCTCTGCTCTGAGATGTGCACATTTAGAATTGTCTCCAGAGTTTTTTTTTTTTTTTTTTTCAGTGGCATTAAGTACATTTTTTTTTTTTTTTTTTCATCACCACTGTCTATGTCCAGAACTTTCTATCATACCAAAGAGAAACTCTGTACCCTTTTTTTTTTTTTTTTTCATTCCCCCGCTGCCCTCTTTTTTTTTTTTTTTTTTTTTCATTCTACTTCTGCCTATTTTTTTTTTTTTTTTTTGTACCCTCCTATAAGTGGAATTTTTTTTTTTTTTTTTTTCCGGGTCCAGCTTATTTCTTTTTTTTTTTTTTTTTCAAGGTTCAGCCATGTTGTATTTTTTTTTTTTTTTTTTCCTTTTTATGGCTAAATAATTTTTTTTTTTTTTTTTATACAGGCACACCTCAGAGAGATTGCAGGTTCAGTTCCAGATACCCCACAACAAAGCAGATATGGCAATGAAGTGAGTCTACTGTTCTGGTTTCTTTTTTTTTTTTTTTTTAAACACAATGTATATGCCTTTTTTTTTTTTTTTTTTTTTGCTAGAAAATGCTAACCATTTTTTTTTTTTTTTTTGAGTTGTGATCTTTTTGCTGGTGGAAGGTCTCCCCTCGATGTTGACGGCTGCTGACTGTTTGGGGTGGTGGCCGCTGAAGGCTGGGGCGGCCACGGCAACCTCTTAGAATAAAACAATAATGACGCTTGCCTTTTTTTTTTTTTTTTTCTTTCATGAGCGATTTCTCTTTTTTTTTTTTTTTTTTTTGATAGCATTTGACCCACATTTTTTTTTTTTTTTTTCTGCTGCTGCTGTATCAACTTTTTTTTTTTTTTTTTTCAAATCCTTTGTTGTCATTCTTTTTTTTTTTTTTTTTTCTTCACCAGGAGTGGATCCTTTTTTTTTTTTTTTTTTCTTTGCTCATCCATGAGAATTTTTTTTTTTTTTTTTCAAGTTTGACCCTGAGATTGTTTTTTTTTTTTTTTTTCTTCAGGCCCCACTTCTAATTTTTTTTTTTTTTTTTTTTCCACCACATCTGCAGTGATTTTTTTTTTTTTTTTTTTGAACCCCCAAAGTCCTCCTTTTTTTTTTTTTTTTTCTTCTTCCAAACTCCTGTTCTTTTTTTTTTTTTTTTTTCTCCCCATGAATCACAAATTTTTTTTTTTTTTTTTTGAACAGGAATCCTTCCCAGATTTTTTTTTTTTTTTTTGCCCAGATCCATCAGAGAAATTTTTTTTTTTTTTTTTTATGCCTTATGAAGTGAATTTTTTTTTTTTTTTTTTTGGAAAGTTGAAATGACTCCTTTTTTTTTTTTTTTTTTGAATGGATTTTGTGATGGCATTTTTTTTTTTTTTTTTTTCTCATTGTCCATCTCCAGTTTTTTTTTTTTTTTTTCAGGGGCACTTTCAGTGAGCTTTTTTTTTTTTTTTTTAATCTTTTTTTCTGAGCAGATTTTTTTTTTTTTTTTTTTAACTACATTCAGTAAGCCTTTTTTTTTTTTTTTTTACTGCCATCCAGCCTTTGCTTTTTTTTTTTTTTTTTTTGGGCAGAGTAGAGTTAGTATTTTTTTTTTTTTTTTTCCCTAGGATTTTCGGAATGGTCAGTGAGTGTTGGGTGCCAATGAAATTCACCTTTCGTTTTTTTTTTTTTTTTTAGCCTGTCCTTTGAAGCTTTTTTTTTTTTTTTTTTTTTTTCCTCTCCAGCTATGAAATTTTTTTTTTTTTTTTTCTTCCTCTGCAAGATTTTACTTTTTTTTTTTTTTTTTGTGGAGACGCCTTCCTAGATTTTTTTTTTTTTTTTTTCTGGAGAACTTGCTGCAGCTTTTTTTTTTTTTTTTTTAACCTCACCTGGCACTTTAATTTTTTTTTTTTTTTTTTCTCTCCTTAAACCTCATGATTTTTTTTTTTTTTTTTTCCTCACCTCTCAGCCTTCATTTTTTTTTTTTTTTTTAGGACCTTGCTCTGGAGGAGTTTTTTTTTTTTTTTTTTGTTGGGGCTGGTTTGGCCTTTTTTTTTTTTTTTTTTAACTTTCTCCACATCAGCAATTTTTTTTTTTTTTTTTCTTATCATTTGTGTGTTCACTTTTTTTTTTTTTTTTTTTTCCTTCAAGAACTTTTTCTTTTTTTTTTTTTTTTTGCTGTTTGGTGCAAAAAGGATTTTTTTTTTTTTTTTTATCTCAGCTT